CCACTTCAGTCAGACTGGCCTCTTCCTTGGCCCCTTCATTGTCCCGGAAACACTCTGTGCTTAGCTCACCCTGTCTCTCCATCTTCCTCTGATCTGGAATGCCCTCCTTCTCCTTGCTCCCAGGCCCAGAATTATAGGTGTGCATTATGCCTCTTTCCTACCAAATCTTTTTCATTTATTTTAAAGGCTGTTGCCCAGGCTGGAGTGCAGTGGTATGACCATAGCACACTGTAGCCTTGAATTCCTGGTCTCAAGGGATTCTCCAGCCTCAGCCTCCTGAATAGCTGGGACTACAGGTATGCACCACCACACCTGGCTAATTTTGCATAGAGGCAGGGTCTTGCTATGTTGCCCAGGCTGGTCTTGAACTCCTGGCCTCAAGCAATTCTCCCACCTGGGCCTCCCAAAGTAAGTGCTGGGATTACAGGCGTGAGCCACCGCACCCGGCCACCAAATCTTTCAAATGTGCTCCTTCTCCCTCTCCTGGCTCACTGTCAACCCCTGGTCTTTCCTTGTCTCTAGGAGGTTGGAAGACAGCAGCTCAGTCCCATCACTATCTCCAAGAGGCAGGTAACCCTAAATATCAGGGAATCATTCCTTGGCTTTGGAACACCCATTTAGTGGAGCTACCTCACTAACGCTGTTTAGTCTGGGCAATGCTATATTTACTTTGCATTCCTAAGCCTTGATCAAATGTGTTGTTCAGGAAAAAGAAGTCAGAAACATCCAGAGAGGCCAAGGGAATTAAACATTTGCTGAGGATCACACTGTGAGAATCTCAGTGGGGCCTAGATAGTGTAGTCCTGGAAATGAGGGCTGGCTGGGGGAAGTACCCGCTTGCTGAGTACCCGCCATATGCCAGGCACTCTATTTTCCTTAACTGGCATGCGCAACTCTGAGTAGGTGTTGTTATGCTCAGCTTACAGGGGAGGAAACTGAGGCTCAGAGAGCTAAAGTAATTTTGGGGGGCCGTGAATGCTAGTCTCTCTCTGCCGTGTCCTGCATCCTGCACAGGTGCTCGTTTCTGTCCTTAGAGCTATGAAGGATGGGGACCCCAGAGTTGCCTAGGTCAGAGAGACCTACTAGGGCCCAGGTGGGAGGTAGGTCATGCTGGTTTTGCTGTTGGACATGTGGGACTGTTAGATTGCTGTTCAGCTTCGTTCCTAACAGATGCAGGGTTGGAAAATTTACTGCAGAAAGTCCTGCAAAATGCTGTCAGTTATTCAACCAAAAGGCAGAATACTCAGCTGGAAAGAGAACTGGGTGGGCAGTCGAGATACCTGGGTTCCATCCTGTCTCTGCCATGACAGGCCACGTGGCCTTGAGCAAGCCTTCTCTAAGGTTCTGTATCCTTACTGCTGAAATAAGTGTGGACAAGGTGACCTCTATGACCCAAACTCTATAGCTTTATAGAAAGAAATAAGCATTTTCTGAGCAGTGGTCACTTAAAAAAAATTAACTCTATAAGCTGGAACCAGGGAACCAGAGGTATGTTAAGTCTCCAAGCTTGGGACTCAGGCATGTATTTAGAGGAAAAATGACTTAGAATGATTGCTAACACTTGAGTGGAGACCTTCAAGAGCCATTAGCCCAATCTCCTTAACTCACAGATGAGGCATTGTGGCCCAGAGGAGGAAGGTTCTTGTTCAAGGTCACACAAGAGCAGTTGCAGGAGGAGCGCCTCCCCCAGAGGGAGGCCTGCTGGAGTGGGAGCAAAGAATGGGGAAAGAAAGTTGCTAGGAGCCAAAGCTGAGGGCAAAGACACCTGGGGTAAGACCTGCGTTTGTGGTCTGTGTGGCACTGGGGCTGGTTGCCATGGGGATGAGAAAGCACCACTGGCTAAGTCTGTGAGAGGCGGGAGCAACGGTGGAGGGCCTGAGCTGAGCCCCTGCCCTGGATGTTGTCTACAGTCCGCCTGTTCCCCGGTGGAAGACAACAAAAGTGCACAGGGTGGCTTCTACCTCCACTGAAAAGCTAATCAAAGGAGAGGAGTAACAACTTACATTGATCTGGGGCTCACCCATTCGCCTTGCTACAAGCCTAATATTTCCATTTTGAAGAGGATCCTGCTCACCTGTGGCTTGGGGGCACTCGTCAACATTTACAATCTTACCTTGGGTTGGGCCACTTTCAGGGCAAGCCAGGGAAGTTTGAGTCCCTCAGGGAGAAATTCCAGGATTTGAATCATTGCTTTCAATTTCTCTTCTTCACTCTTGGGAAATGCCCGGAAAAATGCCCCCACTTCTGTCCTCCTCCGTGAGGGGGTATGACAGCAGCACACAGGCCTCAAGGGACAGCAGGTGCTCTGTCTCGGCAAGGATGGCTAGGCCTTGATTTCTCAGTGTCAGAGCAGTGAGGAAGTGTCCCGAGGGACACTCTAGGCCAGCTGGTGGAGCCATCAGCCTCCCTAGATCTAAGACCAGCGGCAGAAATGGAAGAGGTGAACAGTACCGAAGGCGAGAGAAAACCAAAGGAGGCACCGTTCCTGAGTGCACCAAAAAGGTAATCCTTTTAAGGGGTTAAATCTAAAGTCTTAGAAAAAAGCACTTTAGGGAACAAAACCTTTAACCCAAAGGGAACTGTTTCAAATTATTAGGGGGAGGGTTGAGATCTTTGGTTTATCAAAGATCAAGCCCTGATCACTCCACATCCAGGTAAAGCCCCTCTGCCCTAACAGCGAGTTTTGCAGCATTCAACATTTGCAGGAGACATGTGTTTCAGCTCATCGTAGGTCTGTACAGGCATCCAAGTGTCTCAACACAGTACGAAGAGGGTAACCCATACCAGCAGTTAAAAAGGAGACAGTTCAAGAAATGTGTATTAAATACACTAATTTGCCTAGGTGTAAAAAGTGTTATGCAGGAGAATGTCCTGATTCTTAGGAGATGTATGCTGAGGTGATATAACACCTCACCTGTAAATGTTTTGGCCGAAAGAATACAGTTGACCCTTGAACAACATGGGCTAGAACTGTGAAGATCCACATAAACGCAGACATGTTTCAACGATGTGGATCAAAGATACAGTGTATCTGCAGGATGCAAAACCTTGCATAAGGAGGACCGACTTCAGATTTTGGTATATGCGGGGGTATAGGAGGGGGTCCTGGAAGCAATGCCCTGCATATACCGACGGATGACTGTGTATACAAACAATTGTAGCAAAAAGTTAACAGTGAATCCGGATGAATATAGTGTCCAGAATGTGTACTATTTTAGCTTTAAAGAATTGGAAAGTTTAAACTAGAATGTGAGGGTGGTTCCCTTTTTCCACAACTTGGAATTTACCAACTGTCGAAGCAATGAAATAGATGGCAACTAATACTCGGGGAGCCTTTCCTGGGTTCAAACTGCTGTCAAATCAAGACTCCATCATTTACCAACTTATTTCTCAAAGCTATTATTTATTCTGTACAAGGTTCCACTGTACATTAGACATTCTTCTACTCTTGCTTACACAGTAAACAAGTGTACACCTGCCCTTGGGCTCAGGTTCACAGGTCTTCCCTGGAGAAGGGTGTGAGGCCAGTTAAACTCAGGGTGTCTTTCTCTGATGCCTCCTCCTGGGAGCACTGGTCTGCTCCAGGCTCCAAGGGGCACAAGCCAGGCCCGGCTGTGTGGGTGTGCAAAGGTGCACGGTGCTCCATACCTGTGCTGAACAGCTTTACTCTGGGGACAGCACAGTTTTGTCCAACTTCTTAGGGCAGAATCAAGCCCATGGGAAAGAACAATACAACTGAGGCAAGATGTCCCCAAATACCCAGGGGCTCCAGCTCCCAGGGCAGGACAGAAGACCAATGCCAGGAGGAGCTGAGGGCAGCATGGGCATCCCTGAGAAACTCGGTCCAAAGGGCCTATGTCTACGAGGCTCTGAGAAGGGGGTGAGGGTGTCAGGAAGGCCAGAGGGAAGGGACGTTAAGAGAATAAATAAAAGGTGAGAAGCTCTAGGGATAAGGGCTTGTGCTATCCTTCAAACAGCTGGGAAGCAGACCAGGGGTGGGTCAGAGGAAGTGGGCAGGAAGAACTTGAGACACTATCATCGGAAATATCCTTTCGCCTATTTTCCTCCTCGCTCGGTGCCATGCAGGAGCTAGGGGCTAAGGGCAGGACCCGTCCCTCAGCAGGCTTGGGCATGGCACTGGGGAAAGGAGAAGAGGCTGAGGGATACTTCAGGGAGGGGCAGTTACCCCCTGGTCCCCAAATGCTATAAGGCACAATTCTTGGAGGTGACTAGATTCCATCCAAAATATTAAAAAAAAAACAAAACAAAAAACCAAAAACTTGTTTTATATCCCAGGTCTACTGTGGCTGTGCTTGGGGCCTGGCCAACACCCACCCAGCACCACAGGGCTAGCATTAGAAAAGTTGTACTTGAAGAATTAAAAAAAAACCAAAAAACTGAAAAGGACCAGTACAACGTCCCAGCTGTGACGAGGTCTGAAGGAAAACATCTCCAGTCTGAAAACTTCAGGTATGGGAATTAAAAAAAAAAAAGTTGGGCTTTTAAAAACCAAAACTGGCTTTTTCCAAAGATGTCCCTTCATCTGTCCCCCTGGAGTTAGCAGCGTTAAGAGGGCTCTTGGCTCAGGGGCGTTTTCGCGTCTGCACCGGCGCCCGGCTCCTCCTCGGCGCGGCGCGTCCCGGCAGCGATGCTCCCGGCAGGCTCCAGGGGGCGCTGTCCTCCCAGAAGGCGCGGGGCTGCGGAGGGCCGCGGGCGACGAGGATCTTCTCCCCCACAGACCGCTGTTGTTTATTACACACAGGAAAAAACCACAAGCTTGAAAATGCAAACAAGAGAAGCCGAGGGAGCGCTGGGCTGACTCCGGCCTCCGCGTCCAGTCGATCTTCCCCGCCGGGCCACGGCCCGGGAGCACCCGGCTCCTGGCTCCAGACCCTGACCAGGCTGCATCAACTCCCGCTCGGCAGCTTTATGTTAGTTTATTTTTCTCTTATTTGTCAGGGTTTTTTTTTTTTTTTTCCTTTGGGTTTTTTTTTTTTTTCTTTTTAAAAAACTTAGAGTGTGGGGCCACCACGGGGAAGGGATAAAGGACGTAGCTCCTCGCTGCTACATACGGGAGGGTGGACTGGCCAATTCGTAGAAGAGGAGATAGGCGTCGCTGGTGCGCACTTGGCTGGAAGACATGGGTGTGACACTGTGGAGAGAGTGGGGGAATGTCAGCCCTGGCCAGGAGGCCTGCAGGACCCAGGGCTGAGGGGCTGAGGCGGCCTGAGGCCGGGTCTCCAACCTCCCTACTATACCCCTGAAGCCAACCTCCTCTTTCAGAGAGCCTCGGAAGTTATGTAGCTTTGTGGCTCTGACCTTTTCTGTCCATGCAAGGCGGAAGCCATGCCGACGGGGGAGGTCCTGGTGTCTGACAGCCAGGAGCCCTGTCCGAGACCTCTCTCTCACCTGGAGTCATTGAAAGTGTGCCATTCGCCTGTCACTGGACTTCGACAGTAGGCTGTATAGTGGCCGCCCATGGTGGTTCCGGAGTGATTGGACACAGCATACAGGTTGTAAACAGCGTGGTCTGAGAGGAAACGCAGGTGTCAAGCCACGGAAGTATCCTCCCTCCCCATTCCCTCCCTCCAGCCTCGTATTTCCAACCTTTTCATAACTCGCACCGGTGGCTTCCCTGTACCGCTTTACCTCCCATCTGTACCTTACGCCCTGTGCCTCGACTCTCCCTTCCTCCTGAAAGACACTCACTGGTGTTTTCTGAGGCAAATTCTCTCAAGTCCAGGTCTCTTAGTGGGAAATTCACAAATGCTGTGAGCTTGCTGGTTCGTATCCTGGATTCTGAGAACCGCTTCAGATCTGGTATTGATGCGAGTCAAGGACAGTGGAGCAGGCGTAGACTCAAACTAAAGGAGACCGAGTTCTAACCGGGCAGCCACACTTTTCTAAGGAAGCAGAAAACCAAACTACAAAAGGAAAGCCTATAAGTTCTGTTTTTTCCCAATCTGCTCCTCCAACCCTTTGGCCCCATGTCATTAGAAGCCCTCAAAAGTCAAGTCCCTGCCCTGAGGGATCTTAAGGATACGGAGCACCAAGATCTTTGGGAACCTCTGGATGGAGAACTTCTTTATGCATCGTTTTCTGGCTCGGCAGCGACAGCATGTCTGCAAGACAAGACAAAATCAGAAAGAACTCGTGGGAGAGGTCAGTGGGCCCAAGTTCACTAACTTCTCGGCTGGATCTGATGGTATCAGCATCTTTCCAGACAGGCCTCATGGAAACTTGTTCTTGCTGTTACCCAAGGGTGACTTACTGGCTTTTCATCGCCATCAAGCACATCCTCTTTGGTGAAGAGCCTCATGCAGTCCATTAATGTCACCTCAGGATAACCTCGCTGGGAGAGAAAAAAGCAAAGGTCAGAGGTCAATGACATGAAAGGATAGGACAGGGAGTTCCAAAGGGGGGCCCTTGGGGTGCATACCTTAGCAATGGGCAATGACAGGTCCCAGAAGGGATCAAAGACTGTAGAACAGTAACCACAATCAGTACACGTCAGTGAGCTCTTCAGCTGCCCAACAAAGAGATCTGGGGAAGAGAAGACCAAGAGATGCTAAAATCCAGGGAAGTGAGCACATGGTTTTCTTTTTCACTGCACCTGCCTCAGTTTTTTGGACATTGGGCAGAAACAGGCTTTCCTGGGAGAATGATTCTTAGGGCTTTTCATGCTCTGCTCAGGCAAATGCAGTAACAGTGAAAGTAGGCGTTCTTCCCATTTAGGCACTTACCCCCGATCCGACTGTCTTCCCGTTCTAGATATTTTCTCCACATCTGTCGCCCTTTCTCATCATCCCTGGGAACCAGAGAGAGGGAGACAATTGGATCAGAGCTCAAACCATGGTATGTTTAAGGGTCTATCAATCTGGATCCTAAATCTCCAAAAGTAAATCATATTCCCAAATCATCACCCCCGAAGAAGTAGGTAAAAAATTCAAATTCACAGAAGTTTTACTTCCCCACGGTATTCTCCTCTTACTTACGGAAGATGATCGAGGTTCTCGGGATTGGACTTAGGCCTCGGTGTCACTCGGTTCACCTCATTGTGGAGCCCATCCAGAAGAAAGCGAAGGAACTCCTGAGCATCCTGCTGACTGAACCCAAAGAAAAGAGAGTGAGCAACACCTCTTGGCCCCAGGACTTGCTCTTGCTGTCTACTCTGGGGAGGACATGTCTGCAAGGTCCTTACTTATAGCCGACAAAGCGAGGCGCATATCTCTGGATCTGGGTCTTGAACTCAGATGGGCTCACCACATCATTGGGGGATGAAGTCCATATGGTCTGGATTAGTTTTGCAAACTCTGTTAGAAGGACAAGTGAGAAATTTTCTGTAAGAAATTCTGAAACTAGGCTGGGCGCGGTGGCTCACGCCTGTAATCCTAGCTCTCTGGGAGGCCGAGGCGGGCGGATTGTTTGAGCTCAGGAGTTCGAAACCAGCCTGAGCAAGAGCGAGACCCCATCTCTACTAAAAATTAGAAAGAAATTAATTGGACAACTAGAAATATATAGAAAAAATTAGCTGGGCATGGTGGTAGCTACTCGGGAGGCTGAGGCAGTAGGATCGCTTGAGCCCAGGAGTTTGAGGTTGCTGTGAGCTAGGCTGACGCCACAGCACTCACTCTAGCCTGGGCAACACAGTGAGACTCTGTCTCCAAAAAAAAAAGGAAGTTCTGAAACTAGAATCCCCACAAAAAGTAAGCAAAGACAAACAGGACAGGAATTTCTAAAACCCAACTCCTAGTCCAGAGGGAAAGCAGGGGCCTGTCAAGGGTCCCTCACCTTCCATGAGGGCTGTGTGTGCATTGCTGCTGTGGCTGAGGTCCCGCATATAGAGTCTCTGGAGGCAATAATCTCTCAGCTCCCGGATGTTGCTCAGGCACTGCAGAATCGAGTTCATGAAGCACTGCAAGAGAGGGTCCAGACACTCAGTTGGGAGAACAGAGCCCTGCCTGGCATCTCCTTTACTTAGTACCAAAGGCGCTCCGGTGCATCTGCCCACAAATGAATCTTCTCACAGCCTCAAGTTCCTCTTTTCATAAGTGAAAGGGCTAAAGTGAGGCAAACCCCCACTACAGGTACAGGTGACATAACTGGTTATTTACTATAGAGGTGTGCAAAAGGGTGTGGACATACTGGATAGAAGTGGGTGGGAACTGGTGGGTGTCCCTGACGAGAAGGAGCCAGGAGAGTAGCAAGCTGACAGTTAAAGGGGCAACTCCCCTGAGCAGTGCTTCCTGCTGTGGGTGGGTAAGGCAGAGCCCAGCAGTTCTGTGAAACACCAGTCAGGAAGGGCAGGTACTGATTGGCTTAGAGGGTGGGGAGTCAGCAGGGGACTCTGGTTAGATTGTCCCAGGCAGGGTAGTAGGGGGTGGCCCTGGGAAAGAAGTGGGCTGGGAAGAACTCACCGTGTTACCAAGGTTTCGAAGACCAGCCAGACCCTGGGCGCTCTTAGAATTCTGTAAGCAAAGAACACATGGCATGTGAGGCACGGGCGAAGAGGCTGGGCCCGTGCTAGGCTCTCTCATGCAACCCTCCTCCAGCTAGAGCTGTGAGCAGCAGGCCACACCTTATTCTCTCTTCAACCTTAGTCTAGGTACCTTGTGGGAAAGAGGATTGAGGAATGCCTGTTATTTTCAACGTACAACGTAAGTATTCTTCAGGGCTTTGGTTTCTTTCATTGACTACATGTTGACTGTGTGTTTCCCCCATCTTTACGTTATTATTCATTCTCCTGCTACAGTGGAGACTGTAGGAATTCATATGTTTGCGTATGTATTTGACTCCTGGTTACAAGAAATTTCAAATTCCAAATCCAGATGCTATCTCAAATGACCTATATTTGTACTCCTAGATGTCCAGTATATGAAGTAGCTATCACAATAGGCACTTTGGGAGGTTTTAAAAAATTAAAGGACAAAACACCCTGAGTTTCGATCTTCAGCTGGGAAAAACTCAAGTTGGCCTGACATTCTGAATTGTCAGAGACAGGTGGAATTCCTTCCAGCTGAGCTCAGCTCCTAAGGGCTGATTAAAGGCTGGGAGAATCCTCCCTGCCTGGCTCAGGTTTCAACATCCTGACCAGCCACTGGCTGGGAATCCTTGTGACAGCAGATGGGCCAGCAGAGGTAAGCAGCTGGCTGAAGGTGCGACTCTTGCTTTTGTCCCTGTTGTGGAGGCTGGTGAGGGGGTTGGAGAGAGAACAGGTGTTAGATTGAGGACTCTGTGCATTGTTTGTCAAGGTCTCTTGGCTAATTCTGGGCATACCTCCAAGGAGTCAGAAAACCTTCAGGCTCAAAGGGTTAAAGAAACAGTGTGCAGATGAGTCTGCCACCCCCTCTCTCAGGGAGGGGACCTGGGAGCATGTAACTCTGGAACAACACTGGCTGGGGCATGCGTGGGGCCAGCTCAACCCTGATCAGAACAGGAGCCTGAAATAACTCAGCTAAAATTACTCATGCCGTGTGCTGACAGCCTATGAGGCTGTCAGCAGCTCAAAGCCCATGAGGTTGTCAGCTCAAGGGGGGGTGGGGAGGAGCAGGCTGAAAGAGGGCTTTTCTCAAGAACTGCCTTGCTGATCCCACAGGTAAGAGGATCCCTTCTCTGGCCAGTTGTCAGGTCTAGCACTAACAGGTAGGGAAGAAAATATAACCAGAAAAGAGACCTGGTTTAAAACTGCAGCTAGGGAGGAAAGCCTATTGGCAGATGGGCATAAGCATCCTTGAAGAACTCCACCAGGGCTAACAGTATACAGCCCCAAACAACATCTGAATCTTACCTTCCTGACAGTCTAAACCCTGATGTTCCAGCAAGAGGTCACAACAGAGACCTGGGACAAAGACCTTAGCAGCATTTTCTGGTAAAACTGGCAAAGGACTCCTCCAGGGCCCAGCAAAAAAACTGCTGCAGAAATCCCCATGTTGCCCATTCAGAACTAAACCTGAAAGCTTGTTCCCAACAGGGTACCCACTTACACCTATTTTTGGCAGTGCTTTATTAGTTCTTACCCCCGTGCCTCAGACGACATCTGTCTAAACAGGCTGTAGACACACAGCATTCTACCACTGATGACCATGTAAATGTCCACGAAAGCAGGCTCTCAGCTGAGACAACAGTCACCTAGCACAGGGCTGGGGGTGGGGAAACGGGAAACTGGATTCCTCTGTCTACAGAAGCACTCCTGTGGTGTTTAAAAAATGTTGACACTTAACTCTGACCCAGCAGAGTTAGGGTCAAGAACATTTCATCACCCATGGTCACTAGTTACTATTCTTGAGGATCTAACCCTTCTATTGGCCTGGGGCTTGGGGAGATGGAGAGGCTCCTTTAAGGCATCATTAGGACCTCTTTTTTTTTTTTTTGTAAGGCGGGGGTGGTGGTGCTTTTGTCTAAAATTTCCTGAGCTCAAAACCATGGACTGACTTCTAAGTGCTCTGTGTAGAAGGTGGTGGGTGACAGGAGTCGGGGGGCGGCAGTGGAGGGGAGAGCAAGGCTGCTCCATGCCCAGCCAGCCAGTCTTCTGCCAGGAATAGGAAATCAGGAGCTCCAGGGAAAGTCAGCACTTTCCATTCCACAGAGGAACAAAATGTCCCCAGAGTGACCTTCCTTACAGGGCAAACAATCCTACCGGGCTGACAGGGAAAGAGAGGCTAGAACTGGAGAAGGTGGGAGACCCTGCACAGCCAGCCTCTCGCCCCTAAAGCGAAAGAAGGAAATGACTCCAGCTGTCACACTGGGACACATGTGCAAAGAGTTGAGAAAGTTTCGACCCAGAGCTTCCTTACATTCAGCCATCAGCAAACCCAGTTTTGACTCAGTAGCAAGCACTGTTCTAGAGAGCAGATGCCACCTCCAGAATCAGCAAACAGACAGCGTTCGCCTTCCATGGGGAAGCGGGGGCTCAGGAGAGCCCTCCCTGTGTTAATGCAGAGGCAGCACTTGGGTCATAAGAAAGACTGATGGAGATTTGTGTCTTTGCACTCAAGACGAGGCCTTTCCTGCTTACTTCACGTGTGCGGTAAGGGTCAGCCGTGAGTCCTGGCTGCAGCCAAGAAGCCTGGTGTGGCCCTGGCACGGGGCAGGGCACACACTGCCAACATGGGAGCTGGTGCCTGTTACATAAGACCTGTCAAGCTCGGGTCCTTTTTCCCTTCCCCAAGGGGCCAGCACCCAGCCTTAGCCCCAGCATAACTCTGGGGTGGTTACTTCCATCAAGCGATTCACTGCTCATGTCACAGAACTGGAGAGGGGCGGGAAGAAAAGGGAAGTTGCCCTCTTTCACCTGTCTGCAACTGCTCTGCCCTTCGCAGGGTCAAAAGACCCCTGTCACCAACCCCTGGGAGAGATCCCTTTGGGAAACAGTGAGGGGGAGGCAGCCCCTTTCTGACCAGCCTTTGTTGCTGGGGTTTGGCCTTGGAGAAGTCACCCCGCAGAGTCCAGCGTGCTGCCTTCACACAACGACCGAGACCTAGTCAAGGTTACACTTTCTTGCACCTGTCCTGATAGGTACCAGTAATTAAGAGGCCAAGAGCCACCTGGTGCTGGGGTCACCGAGGAGGGGGTAGGGGGACTCAGGGACTGGAACCTCAACAAGGGGAGGAGACTGCGAATAAGCGTGCCATCACCTGGCGAGGGGGCATTCCTTGCCGGGAGACCCTGGGAAAGGAGGGGTGGGGGCTGGGAAGAATCCGTCCCCCGCGCCGAGGGGCGCGTGCTGGGCAGGCGGGGTCCGGGAAGGAGCGGGACCCCAGGCCCTTGGCGTGGGGGTCCCGGAAAAGGGCCCGCGTACCTTGGCTTTGTTGAGCAGGAGCCCCACGAAGGTGGAGAGCAGCAGGGACGGGGAAAGAGGGGAGCGCGGCCGCAGCTCCTTGGCGAGGGCGGGAAAGGGGGCGGCGGGGGGCTCCTCGGGCAGGGTCACGGTGTACGAGGTGCGCATGCTGGGGGTCGGGCGGCGGCCTCAGCTCCACGCCTAACGTTGGCAGCCGGGGCGCGGGGGGAGTCCCCGCGCGGTGCCACAGCCTGGACGCCGAGGCCAGCGAGGCCGCCAAAGGACACCCTCCGCGGCGCCCAGCGGTAACCGTTACAGCGGGGCCCGACCGCGCGCTCCTCCGCCTCAACCTCCCCGGCGTGCGCAGCCAACCGCCGGGGCCAGACTCTCACGCTCCGGCGGACTGGCGGCCCCGCCGGCGCCTCGGGCCCCGCGACGTCAGCGCGGGGGCGGGGCCAGGCCCGCAGCCCCGCCCCGCCCCGCCTCCGCCCCGCCCCCGGTCCCCGGCACGCGGACCCGAGCGAGGCTGCAAGGACAGCTCCCCCGCGCCTCCCGTCGGTCCTCCCACACGCCGCGGGGCCCCTAGCCCGCCGACCCTCGGCCAGGCCAGCCCGCGGGGGAGGCAGGACCAGAGCCCGGAGGCCCGGGTGGCCTCAGGGTTGGGGCTCAGGAGAAATGATCCTTGGGGCCCGCGGAGGACACCTCCCCGAGACCAAGTGTCAGCCGGGTGAGCTTCCTCCAGGGCAGCATACAATTCCTAACTTTTTGAGAACCTGATGAGAGCTCTGTATTCTCTTCCGGGCAAAATGCGCATATGCACAAACTTTAGTCCAGCATTCAGTGCCCTCCTGAAGCTTAACATCAACACAGTCCGTGGGGGTGGATGGGCCCAGGTTAAGAAGATAGATTTCCGTGGCCTCGGGAGGGAGCTCTCCTCCTCCCTCCAGTCCTAGTTATTAAGGGAGGCAGTGCTCATATTTTATAAGGTGCAATAGGTCACTGTCCCTTTTGGCTCCAGGAAAGAACCTTTAATGGCTTCTTCTAACCAATTACCCAGCTCCATCTTTCACAGAATCTCAAATTTGACTTGCGTTTGGGAGGTGGGGAGAAAGTAACATACTGGTGGGGAAATAGGCGCTCAGCTGCTGTGGGGGTGAATGTTCTACTCTGACCCTAAGTGCAGCAATGCTTGAAGGTCAGGGGTCTTTGGGTTTTATTTCTGATGCTCTGTCCCTCCACCTAACAGGGAAGCAGCACACGAATCTGCCTAGAGAAAGTATCTTGTTTGGAGCTTGCTGGCTATTTTTAGCCAGTATTTTTAGCATTTAAAAATACCCTGAGAGGCAGCAGTGTATGCTGTTACTCATCTGTGGGCTCCTTCTGTTCCTTCTGGTGTGCTCATCCCCACATGTACACGCGCACTGCACACACGACCACAGCCAAATGGGGAATGTGTCTGGGACACATGTATGGACTGTACCCTAGGCCACCCACAAAGCAGAAATTTACTGCTAATAAGAGGGGATTGCGGAAGGTCGCCTCCTCCCGCTCCATGTACCAGCAGTGGTGGTGGGAGCGGGCTGGGGGCAGGAGCAGCAGGGCATTCTATTTGGTGATCAGTGAGGGTGGGCATGTTAGGAGGGGCCATCTCTATAGTCACTGTCCTCACCCAGACTCTGACCGAACCTAGAC